CTGGGCTTAACAAGGGTGGTGCCAAGAAAAATGAAATCTCTGCAAATCGTTAAATAAAATTATCGTCTGTGGCTAAACGTAAGTTGATGCGTGCTAAGAGCTATTAGTTACGAAACTCCTTATTGAGAGGTGAAGTAAGAAAAGTGTATAATAATGTAGCCCATATTTCAATATCGGACCACCGTTCTGTTACATATGTATAGCAAGTAGGAATAAAGATATAGATTCTTTTCACGAATAATAAATTTAAACTCAAAAGATTCAATAGATTTTCCTTACCACTTTGTCGCTGTAATTGAGGGTAAAACTGATAATCGTTCCAAGGTTATTAACGGACACCCAAGAGACTTGGATCAAATCGGGCAGTCTGGTTGTTGTCTCCATGGTTGCCACCATAGCCTTAGCCACAGGACTCGACTCTGTGCATGAATGGTTCGCCTGAAGCTTCCCCAAATTGGTATTTCCGATGGTTGTGGGTCCTTGACTGTTCGACTCTTCCTGACTGTTGGAAAGCATATTACGAAGACCTGGCAACAGCTCTGTCACTGGTTTGCTTGCAGAGATGGATTTCACTTCCCTATAAGGATACATAGGTTGGACGAATTTTTTCCCACTTTTATTAAAACTCTGTCAAAGCACGAAGTCACACTATGGAACACTTGTGTCTAACTAAAAAATAATAGATTTTGAATTCGAAGACTGAAGTAGTACATAATTTTTAATTCCAATAATGGTGATTATTTAGCTGAGTAAAAAATGACTTAATTGACTTATGTACCCTAACATGCAGTAGAATAGAGAATACTGCGCTGCAGAGACTAGTTATATATTAGGAGGATTTATAGAGTTGCGTTGGGATAAGACAGAAGGTCACATGTGCTCAGAATCTTGTTGAATAGACGCACAGGAGTGAAAGTAAAGGATAGGAAAATACCAATCAAAACGGTGTTTCGTCAAGCTGAACAAACACCCGAATCAGATACCGCGTTGAGGCTCCATGTAGAAATGTGGTGTGCATTAGAACCCAGTTCGAGCAAAGTACCCCTTGAATAGGTGCATTAGTCACCCTAGGTCGTTCAAGGTTAATATAAGGACTAATAGCATCATTTTCTATAATGAAATTTGTAGGCATCATAATACCGTTGAAGCTTCCCTGGCCTTGACATCCAAAAGGCTCTTCTGCTTCAGGGTAGATCGCAGTTACACCCTCATCTGCTTTCATAAGAATCTACCGAGGGAGTTGAAACAGGATCATGCACATAATAGCAACAATTCAATACCCCGCTAACAGCCATGAGTACCGGTGGGTCACAGCATAAATGTGACTTTCAAGGCAAGTCAATGCTATCAGCCCTTAAAATCACCCTAAGTGACCTAGGGCGATTAAAAATGTTTGATTTAGAACTACAGATAGTTCACATAGAAAACAAAGTCTATATTGCTGCTACTTGGCAAATAGAGCCTCACAAACGCGGACCATTTTGGTTCCAACACTGGGTGAGTGCAAGTTCGCTGATCTTAGAGGTCTCACCAATTTTTTTATAATGCAGATGCATGGCAATAATGGGTAGCATAGGTAGAAGTGGCAAATGAGTGATCTAACACATAGAGGAGTGCTGCTAGGTGATCATCATCCCGTGGAAGAACTGACTGAGTGAACGTAAAATGTAATCAGGACCTAAGTCTTAACAGAGAATCAAACATAGGCATTTCAGCAAGCAACTTGCTGAGGCAAGAAGCTGATTGTGAAGTAGGGAAATGTGTGGTTGACTTGGAGCCTACTGAGCGGCGCGAGAGACTGGAGAGCAAGTAGATGTCGTAGTCCCGGGGAGACATATCCCATGGTGAAACAGTTTCGGTTA